AGGGAGCTGAATGGTGAAGTATAGATAGCTATGGATTTGCCACAGGTCAGCAATGCTTTATATATATAACATCAATATTTTAAGTTCTTTGTTGTTCATACCAATACCTGTGACAAAACTGCTTCCCTCCATTCAAAAGAAAGGTAGAAAGGACTTCAAAGCTACATGATGTAAGATTAAAATGAGAAAAACTATTATATTTACCTTGCTTCAATGGACTGTGATTTGTTTTTTATTTATTTATGTCCTGCTTTTATTTTGTACAATTCAAGATGGCAAACATAATGCTCCCTCCTCCAATTTTCCCCAGAACAACCACCCCGTGATTTGAGTTGGGCTGAGAGATTATGATCAGCTCAAAGTCACCTTCTGTGCCTTAATGGAGGACTAGAACTTCTAACCACTATCAAAATATATAATCAGGATGAATTTTCTATTAGATTAATCAGCAACAGAATGTGAAACCATCTACTACTATACCTTTAACTCCACCACAAAGTGTTAAATGCATGCCTAGCTACTCCAATAACACTAAAGGATTATTTTGTATGGCCAGTCAACAAGCTGGCAAGAGAAGCCAACCAGATTCAGATTTTACACTATTGAAATAAGTACCTATCCAAGCCTGTTGTGCCATAATTTCACCTGATTATATGGATTAAGGCTAAGACAGACTGGGGCCTGTTACAAAAGCTATGAATGGTCTATGTTTTTTTACAAACTGTATCAGGGTGTGTTTTGATTTTTCTTATCTTAGCTTCATACCCAATGAATTGGGCATATTCACCACTGTGTATAGTACATCATGCATCTACACCTACATCTACGTATATATGCATACTACCTTCTTTTTTTCAAGGTGCTGGAAGCCACCGTGAAGTAGCTTAATCTCCTTTTAAAAGCAAGAAATATTATAGAGGTTGATAGCCTATAGGTTACAGTGAGGGTGGCAGCAATTTATTTATAGTCCATCAAAGCAACCTGAAATTGTGGCACTAAAGTTAGGTGGCAAAATGGCTGTTTCCAGCATTATTGTAACACCAACATATAGCTGGAGACAGGTGTGCTAAGCCCCTGAAAGGCATTATCTCCCACTGTGTGACTTGAGTAGCTGTACGAAACAGCGTAGGTATGGAGAGAGAAATAAAATTGATGCAGCAATTCAGAGAAGGATTTTTGGAGAATAGGGTTTATCTTAAATAAGAAAATACATATTAGGCAACTGCATTTACATAAAAAGCCAAAATACCCAATCTAGCTGTATCCCAAGTAGAAGAATGATTTTTGGAGAATAGGGTTTATCTTAAATAAGAAAATACATATTAGGCAACTGCATTTACATAAAAAGCCAAAATACCCAATCTAGCTGTATCCCAAGTAGAAGAATGATTTTTGGAGAATAGGGTTTATCTTAAATAAGAAAATACATATTAGGCAACTGCATTTACATAAAAAGCCAAAATACCCAATCTAGCTGTATCCCAAGTAGAAGAATAAAAGGTCATGTAGTCTACTATGCTATATGAAGTTTGACAATAAAGTATCTACTCCATTGCAACAGGAAAGAGAGGGAAAGAGCCGAAAATGAGGGTAGCCCTGAAAATATCAGTCTAACCAATTAAAAAGAGCCAGTGTGGTGTAGTAATATACTGGTGTGGTGTAGTAGCTTCTGTGAGGACAAAGAGGAGGAGGAAATACTATGTAAGCCATCTTGAGCTCCTATACAAAAGGAGAGAGATTATCCATGTCTAATTTCTGTATTTCTAAGAGCTATTCATATTTTCTGTGATTTAAGGCAACCTCCTTCAGTCTGATATTGTTAGAGTTGTCGCCCCAACATCTCTGGAAGATACTAGGTTGGGGGCCTATGGCCATATTTTGCAGATATAAAAAATACATACCTGTGGTATGAAAGAAAATGTCATACCTGTGGCATGAAAGAACCAAAAAGGATACTCTACCTTTGTCTTTTCAAATTTTTGAAAACTTGCTTACCTTGAGCTCCTGGACATAAGGTGAGATATAAATGCAACAACTAAATAAATATTAGCAAAATCTATGCTGCACATTATTAAAAGTTAGCTGGCCTGCCACAGACAGATAAAACAATTGCAGAGATTAATCCATCCACGGGACAAATACTTGTCAACTTCAGGTTAGATATTTCCTGTCTGTTACAAATCTAAAACTTTGAAGCATAGAAGATGCTTAAGATATCTTAAACATTTTTCTCCAGATGGAACTTCTTGGTTTCCTAATTGGTCAGGGAAAAAAAGGTAGATGGAAATTATTTTTTTATTAAAAAAAAAAGCAGGATTATATTTCTCAGGAAATTATATAGGCCTTAGCTCCCCAACAATTTGCCTATGAATGCACTGATGCCTCCAGACCACACATCCCTCAATTTTTAGGTTTGTGTAATTTATCTTTTATTAATGTTTGGGAGGAAAGACTTCCAATTTCAGCTTCTCTTCTCTTCTCTTCTCTTCTCTTCTCTTCTCTTCTCTTCTCTTCTCTTCTCT